GCCAGGAGTTGGACTCAATGTCCTTGTGGCTCCCTTCCAACTCAGGATATTCTATGATTCTATGATTTTGCTGCATTGGCTGAGACCCTTAAAGACCTTCATGGCATATTCTTGCCTCCATGACAGTGTCATACTGGCCTAGGACATGGTCCCCTTAACACCTTACCAGGATGACGCAGCTCATCTTTGGCCAACCGGTGTGTATTGGTAAGGTGTGAGGTTGGAGAGCAGGTTCTTCACAGTTCTATTGCCATTTATATTTCTGCATAATTTGAGGCTGGAAGCCAAGTTACTGAGTCTGGTAAGGCAGCACAGTGTGGGAGAAGAGCAAGGGAAAACGTGGGGGTGTATTTCTGAGATATCAGTGGTAGGTGGTTAGCTTCATTTGAGTTTTGCATGCAGGGAAATTGAGGGGTTTTTTGTCCAGAGCTTCTACACTGACACACAGTGAAAATGTTGGTTTTGAAAAGGCAGAGATGAGAGCAGCACACCTAAGGTAAAATTACTTGTGCTGAAGACTGTAATAACTGAAACCAAGGATAAATCTCATTGTCTGAGTGATACCATGATGCAGGGTTAGACTTGAAGAAAGAACATTTTCTTTGATGAAAGTAATTTTTAGATTTTTGAAGAAATTTATTTCTTTTACCACAACATACTGTTCAAGGTGAAAATTAGAGGCATTATTTTGCCAGACTGTTTTTCTGGAGGGTGTGTGTGGAAAGGATGGGGGACATGACTTAAAAACCCACCTCCAGCTCTGCTTGGGAGAATTTGGCATGGATTTTTTCAGTGGGCAAAAGTTAACCTAATTTATGTAGTTTTTAGGAAGATTAGACAGCTGGGCAAATATTGGGAAACGATAAAAATAAACGTGTGAAATTTTAAAAACATTTGCCCTGACTTACACTTATCTTTGTGCTTGTCACCCACAAACACCTTAGCAAACAATTTATTAGCAGGAGGGCTTCCTGGAAGAGCAATCTCTAGCTCTGTGCTGCAGAACAGTCAGGGGAGCTGCATTTGCAGTCAGGCAGGTTAGAGAATTTGATTCTGTTGAGTAAGTCAGTGGCATCGATAGCAGCTAGTAAGTTGGAAATAGGCAATCCTGCACATGAGATCAGTAGGAAAGGAGCTGGAGCCTGGAGAAAAGGAGGCTGAGGGGAGACCTTCTCACCCTCTACCTGAAAGGAACTTGTAAACAGGTGGGAGTTGGTCTCTTCTCCCAAGTAATAGGGAATAGGACAAGAGGACATGGCCTCAAGTTGCACCAGATAAAGTTTAGATTGGATATAAGGAAAAATTTCTTCACTGAAAAGGTGATCAGGCATTGCAGCAGGCTGCCCAGGGAAGTGGCCAAGTCACCACCCCGGTATTTAAAACACATGCAGATGTGGCACTTGACATGGTTTAGGGCTTGGCGGTGCTGGGCTAATGGTTGGACTCAATGACCTTAGAGATCTTTTCCAGCTGTAATGATTCCATGATTCCATAAAGTGAGACACATTGTATAGCATACTTGGGAAGTGAGCAAGGTGGTGGCCCACAAGTAGAGAGTGTGTGTGGTCTATCATAAGAAACAACTCAAATAAGAAATGAATTCGTGGAGACTATAACCTGATCATTCTAAACAGAAAAAAAATGTAAAGAGCTGCTAATTATTCTCATCCAAATGGGAATGCTGATGAGTGGGCACACATCCCACTTTGCTGAGCGATTTCCATGTGTTTATGGATGTAAATGAAAGTCTGTGTATCTTTAAAAAGCCTGGAAATCAAGCATCCATCAGGCAGGCTTCACTAAGGAAGAGCTGTAGCTGAGAAGCCTGTCACTCAGATCTTCCCACTCTGGGCACAGGGAGTTTTCTCCTCACTCAGCAGCATTGCTGGTTCAGGCCTGGCCTGGGGTGGTTTAAGGGATGAATGCACAGCAAACACATCCACCTTAAGAGGAAGTGCTGAAAATTGGGTGATTCTATTTCAGTGCCTGGTCTCCTTCTAGCACACGTGGCACAAGCACCTGCGTAAAGAGAAAGTAAATAGCGCTAAGACCTCTACGCCTCTGAACGAACTTCAGCAAACACACTGCTCCCCTTAGCCTCCCAAACAAATCTGCCGGAATAAACAGTGTCTGTGTGTGGTCTCTGGCATCAGGCATGCATGGCAGCACTCTGTGCCTGCTCCTTTGAGGAGAAACAGCTGATTTGCCAGGCAAGTTCCTTGATTAAAGCCTCAAACAGACTAATTCTTATAGAGAGGGAAGTTGCAGGTAAAACAGACTCAACTCTGGGAATTTTTACTTATTTCCAAACAGCACAAATTCCTGATGACTGATTAGTATTCGCCAAACAAAAAGGACACAAACACCTTTTGTCCTCCTTTCATTGAATCAAACACTTATCACCTCCCCCCTTCCCAACCTCAACTTCCCTGACTTTCACCCCCTGTCGAAGTTATCCTGGCCCGATTTCTGTAGTGGCAGAAGAGCTTGGGGCCATTCATTTCTTGCTGATGCTTTTTGCTTGTTCATTTTCTCTGCCACCATTTGCTTTGCTAGGTTTTTCTCTACTGCTCTTTGCTTCTAGCTTGTTTTCTTAGAGTTGTTTCTTAGTGTCTCCACTATGGTGAGGGTCACCTATGTCTGCAGTCCCTCAGGGTGTCCCTGCATGGCTATGTTTTTCCCATGGCCTGAGTCCTGTACTGGTGTGGGTCTGCCACAGCTTCAGTCCATCAGGGATGTCTCCACATTGCCATGGATGTTCATGGCCTCAGTCCTTTAAGTTTTGGTTATCAAAACCAGAGTTAAGGATCATCTCAGTGTGAGTTGCATGCAGAATTTGGTCCTCTTGACTGCTTCAAAGCAGAATTTTATATTTCCCCTTAGAAAATCAAATTAATATTACTAAAATAAAAGAAGAAAAAGGAAGGATCTTCATGCTACCTAGAGTATTAAAAATAAAATCTCTGGCATATGTTTAAAGCAAACTAACATTCAGAAACCACTAGGGTTGATGTTTGTTAGAACATCTGCCACTGAAATGTGAATCAGCTCCCCTCCTGCCCATGCCCCATTTTTGATGCAGACTTTCCCCCAGGCATCCATCTCTAGCCTCCAGCAGCCCTCTGTTTCATTTCTCACTAGGTTGGGTTGTGCTACAGAAGAGCAAATTGTCTTTTGACTAATCTGTCTACCTGTGGGGGTGCTCCTGGGCTCCCCACGCAGCATCTGGGCTTGTTTTCACTCTGCCCCAGGGGATGCTGTACCCCTGGTCTGAGTGTGTGCTGTCTGTATGTCCTTTGTTCTGTGCCCTATATTAAGGGTTTTTTTTCTTTTCATGCAGCTTTTGACAGTGATATATGAGATTTGCAAATAAGCACAAATCGGGGACTTAGGAGACCTCACAAGAGACTTTTATTTACTTCAACAAATGAGAGAATGTGCTTGATAGAAACACCCGCATAATGTTTTACCAAAATGCTTATGAAAAGCACGTGACTTTTACTGCTGCAATAAACTGCTGAAGTACCTCTAGAATATGTTCAGCCAGTAGCTGGAGTTGGGGGCAGGTGAGGTAACATGCAGATTTTAAAATCTACACCTTAGCAGACACTAGAGAAGATAACATGTGCTGACAGCAGGCGTTTCCAGAGGACTGTGAGGTCACCTCAGATAGTGGGGCATCAGATGATGTAATGCTGCTGCCATTCCTGCTGCAACGGCCCTGAAGTAATACCTGACTTGCAGTCACAGGTAATACACATCCTACAGAGGGAGGTACATATCCTGCTCACAAATGGCTGGAGAAATAGGATGATCTGGAGAAACAAATTGGATATTTGCAACCCTTTTTTAAGAACTGACTTTCCACAGAGACTTTCTGCTGACATTTAGCATTTGTTGTGCTCTTACCAGGGAGTTTGTGAGAGTAACCAGAGGCTGCCAAAGGTTTTGTTGTGATAAAATGCTTGCTTGATCTTTGCATTGCTGTTAAACTTTCATATTCCCCTGCCTGCTGTGTAAACATAATATTTCCTACAACTTTCATGAAAAGGTGTAAAAGGAGACAACGAAATAAGAAATATGTGATGTACAGGGATATTTTTACTGTGAGTGTGCTTAGACATTGGAACAGGCTGCCCAGAGAAACTGTGGATGCCCCATTCCTCGAAGTGTTCAAGTTGGGTGGGGCTCTGGTCTAGTGGGAAGTGTCCCTGCCTATGGCAGGGAGGTTGGAACTGGATGACCTTTAAGGGCCCTTCCATCCCAAACCATTCTGTGATTCTATGATTTCTTTTTTTTTTTAAGTCACTATTGCAAGCAGTGTATGGATTGAGCGTGATGACCTTGAAAATGGATTTAGTCCAAGTATAGTGACTGTCCAACTGAACTGCAAGGGGGAGGCTGTGGGTCATGAACAGAGACAAGAAGCCCTGGAGCAGGCATGGCACAAGTGGGTTTTGTGGTAGCTGGAGGCTGGGTTGCTGAAGGAGAAGTCCAAAACAAGGCTTGCTGGTTTTTTTGGGGGTGTCTATCCAGACACTGCCTGAGCAGGAGTGCTTCACTCATAGCCTTGGCCTTTGCCTGGCCCAGAGGAACTCCTTTAATATCTCTCACAGACACTGCTGGCTTGATTCAAAGGCACTGTGTGCTTAAAATCTCCCATAAGATCAGACTCTAAATCTGAATCCTCAGGCCACATTTATTATTAAATCTCCAACTTCCTGAGTAGAAAATGAACCTTTTGCACTGAACGTCTGCTGCATCCTACTAATTCTGATCAAAATATGGGACACTTATTTAAAATAACAAAGGCTGGGTTGTGTTGCTAGTCTCAGTGATAACATTTTTGCTTCAAAATAATTTCTTTTCTGATAGAATAGCCCAGCAATCAGATAATAAGATAAGCATCATCCAAAGGGCTGGTCATGTTTCTGGACTATGTGGTCCACGTATAGATTAGAGGTAACGCGTGTTTGAGGTCTTTATATCCTTTGAAAGACCCTCTGCAGATCTGGAGGTGTTATGCCCATCTATGAAATTGGTGGATATGTGCCTCAGATAGAACTACTACTAATAAATCCAGGGTTATTGCTAATAAGTATGTCATGTGCATCCTGTACATGAATTCACTGTTAGCTGTCTTAAAAATGAGAAGGGATTTGCCTGCACCTCAAAACTAGTGGAGCTATGGGTTTTGTTTGCCTTGGTTGTATGTTTTTACCCATTACCTATAAAACAGTGGCTCATCTCATGTGAACAAAGACATAAACCTGATAGAAGTGAGGAGCTGTGATGAGCAGTGCAGTAGTTTATTGCTTGATGAATATGTCCAGTTCTGTAGTAATTACCATGAATTGAGAGGGATAAAAAAGCAGCAGAAGTGAACTTGCTCAGTCAGAGCAAGTTCTGCCTCAAGTCACAGAATCATGAAGGTTGGAAAAGACCTCTAAGACCATGCACTCAACACAGACAGGTCTGTGCCTAAACCATGTCCCTAAGCACCACATCTGCACACTTATTGAGCAATTCTAGGGACAGTGATTCCACCACTTCCCGGGGCAGCCTGTCCCAATGCTTATCAACCCCTTCAGTGAAGAAATTTTTCCTAATATCCTGTCTTGTTTATCTGTAATGCCTGTTTCCTGTCCCTGAAGGAGCAGGGTTTGCACTGCTGTTAGGACGCAACTCACAGTGTTTCTGAGCCCAGACATCTTTTCCCAGGAACAAGAATCTTTGTCATCCCAGGCCTGGTATAAATTCCAGTGAGGTTAGAGTTACATGTGGCACCAAAGTTAAATTAGCAGAGAAACAGGAAACTAAGAGAGGAACTGTCTGCCAACTTCTGAACTTGAGTAACAGAAGAATGCAGAAAGTCATAAATAAATAGAACCAACTGGAGAACACCAGTTTCTACTTCAGAAACGTCCTAGCATGATGGGCCAGACTCCTCTTTGGTTACGCTTCCTTCTTCATTGTGAAAGCAATTGCCCCAAGGTTCCCCTAAATTTCTCTGGAGACCTGTCTGAGAGATATTTCTGTAGAAAACTTCATCATTGAAGGAAGGCTTGGCAATGCTGTGCTAAGACCCAACCAAGTGATTTGAAAAGCCCCTCACATTGGATTGAATGTTTAGACAATCCTCTGCTGATGCAGTAGTTTAAACACAATGTGATATGTGTGCCCTAGGACTCAAGCAGCTGGATTATCCACAATTTCCATGGAGTAATAATTGAAGAGGAGGATAAAGCTCATCATTCAAAGTGACTTTGGAACAATCCTGTCTTCTTCTGATTTTTTCCTACTTACTCTGACCAGCATGAACAACCTTCTTCTCTATTTTGTATGTACATGGTCAGTTGCTTGGACATACTTACCTTGGTCCCTCCTGCAAGCAGGCTGTGACATTGTCATGACGGGGAAGGCTTGCAGTGGATTTCTGAGGAAGACACTGCAAAGTACATGAAAGAAGGCTAAAGTCAGCTCTTAAGATTAAGATCAATGATTTCTCAACATTTCAAAACATACTTATTAAAAGAATACGCACTTTGCTTGTCTAGGCTGGTTTCTGGGAATGGGATGTGATGCTTTTTCCCTTATCTGACCAGATTTTTCTGTGTAGACGGTGTGTCTGTCTTTGATCAGAAGTGGAAGATTATTTAACATGCATCTAAAAAGTGCAACACTCATCTGTAATTCAAATTGGATAGCAGGCCATAATACTCAGGGTTACAGAGGGGTCAAAAGGAGAGCAGTTGCTCAAAAAGGGGAAATTTAATGTAATTTTTAACCATTATGTTCACTGAAAGACGATGATCGTGCTAGTTTACAGGACAAACAATTAAAGACCTCCTGAATTGTTGCTCTGTTATAAAGGAGTTGAACTTTATCTGACCTTTCCACCAGAAGCTAAAATCAGAAAGATTTGCTGACTACATGCTCCTTTTTGAAACTCTCATTGAGAAAAAACAGAATTAAGGATGATCTCAGTGTGAGTTGCACTGAGTTTGATACTCTCGACTGCTTCAAAGCAGAATTTTATATTTCCCCTTAGAAAATCAAATTGATATTACTAAAATAAAAGAAGGAAAGAAAAAGAAAGATATCTTCATGCTACCTAGAGTATTAAAAATAGAGTCTCTGGCATATGTTTAAAGGAAGCTAACATTCAGAAACCACTAGGGTTGATATTTGCTAAAATATCTGCCATTGATATGTGAATCAGCTCTTTTAAACACCTCCAGTTTGGTGCATTTTTGTGTATATGTAACCTTATTAATTGTATTCTCTTCACATTCAAAAGGACCCTGAAAGCTCACGCTCACAACACACATATGCAAATGTGTAACATCTTACAGCAAAATCTGGGGATGTGGCAAAACTTATGAGGCAGGATTAATCTGGCTGAAAGTAAATACCACTGGTATGGATGTTTATATCAGAGCTAATCACCCTGGTCTCCCTTTGTAGTCAGTGGAGGGAACCAGGCATTACTGGAGGGTGATTCATCTCCTGCTGAAGCAGATGTCTGAAATGGGTCAGGCACCTATTTCTGTCATTATTTTCAAAGGCTGCCTTTGGATCCCAGCTCAGAAACAGAGATGTACATCCTAGACATCTAAGGGTGAGCCAGATGAGCATGAGTAAACAGTGAAGGCAGCTGGCTTCATCCTGGGCTGTGTTGGAAATGACTCAGCAGCAAGTCCAGGGAGGTGGTCACTGACCCAGCTTTGAGCAGGCACTTGGATTCTATGACCTCCCCAAATCCTCTCCAACCTGAATTACTCTGTGAAACTCTTCTTCTCTAGTCAGCTCTTGCAAGACTGCATCAGGAGTATGATGTACTGTTATGGGCTCCCTGTTCCATAAAGGCTTTGATGGGCAAGAGTGAGTCCAACAAAGACCACTAAGATAGTCATGGGTCTCGACCACAAGGCTTGACCACAGGACTAGAGCGCAAGAGCGATGTCTCAAAGAGGCTGGAAGAAGTGGGTTTGTTTGACCTAAGAAGAGAAAGATAATGGGGGATCCTACATTTTTCTTCAACTGGCCAGCCCTCCAAAAAAGTTGAACCCAGATTATTCCAGTGACTTTTTTTGCAGTGCAGCCTCAGTTTCATTGGCATAACCAATAGGCTGTGATTTTTGGGATGGATGTAAGGAAAACAGGGAAGCAAGACATGCTATTTTACCACTAATGCTGACATTTCATGGTGTTCAAACATCTGTTCTGTTCTCTTGGTCTGGAAACAGCGATTTGTTTATCCTTGATTCTTGTCTGAAATAAAACTCCTAAAAGGAAGCAGTTGGATGCAAAGTCCCACAGCCTGATCATATCTGAGGTCTGAAGTTACAAAATCACCACACAGACACTTCCCCCTCTCCTACAGTTGGCCAAGCAGGTCCCTGTTCCATGCCTGCTGCCTCAACATGCCTGCTTGCCATGGCAACCAGTCAGCACTAGAAGTATTTTAAAGCTGCTAAGAAAATGTCCCCATTTACGTGCTGTCACACATTTAGAAAAGGCAGAACATAGTAATAAGGTGACGAGCCCCATTGCTTGCCCCAGCTGAACCTGACTGTGAGGTTCAGACACTCACGGATGGGTTGATTTTGAAGACAAGGACAGTCTAAACATAGTTCTATACTGTGGGATAAGGCAGCAGCTCAAGTTTCACTTCTATCGCTTGTTGTTTCTATTCTCAGTCCCATATGTTTAGAGTTTTGCATAAAGTCCAAATTTCTGTAGACAAGTAGTAAGCTAAGAGCCTTAATTCAGTTGTTCTAAGGAGAAAAAAAAGGTGTTTTTCTAGATATTGCAAAGGGATAACTTAAGGGTGATCAAAGACCTTAATTCTCACTAATTTCCTTTGAAAGAAGACTTACTTTCTCTTTCTCAGCCTGATATTTGAGATTTGAAATCTTTGTACATCTTCTTCATAAATGAGCAAACTCAGAAGCCTCAAAAAACAAATGGTAAAATTCAAATAACCAAAAAGTGTTAAAATAAAATAGAATCGCAAAGTTTTATTTAGAGTGTGATTTTTGTATTAATGGGGGCACACTGTATTTGAGAAAGACTGACTGATGTATGCTGGTTATCCAGAGTTAATCCCCAAAATCTAAAGCAGTAGAACTCCAAGTAATTTGTGTGCTAGTGGCACTTCCATTAGTGAATTTCACAGGGTTTTGCAATCTTTATCTCATAAAGAGGACAGGAAAAACAAAACAAGTCCTCAAGCTTCTAAAACAAGATAAAACAAATGACCTTCTGCAAAACTGTTATTTCCCTGTTTTCCCAGGAACACTGAGTTACCCATATTGAAGAGGACACAGCATAAAGTGAAGCAATAAAGACGTTAAATATACCTAGGGTCTCGAGCTTTGCTTATGACATGTGAAGAACATGATGAGACCTGCAGCCATATATCCTTTTATGCTGCAGGTACTCTCTGGAGCAGGGAACTGCCTGTTCAACAGACACAGTTTCTCTGCTTCAGAAGATGGCACAGGGGGTGCAGGTGAAACAGAGAGCTAAAACTTTGCACGAGGGCCATGTCAGGATGGGGATTGGAGAAGGGTAGAGAAGCAAAGCCCACAGCTAACCTCTATACTGAGCAACAGAGGGGCTGTGAGGTCAGGGCAGGAGAATCTGTGTTTGGATGAGCTGCCATCTAAAAACATGCTGGCAGGGCTTGGCAGGAGGAAGGTCACTTGTGCTGTATCTGCTGTCACTAGAACATTTCATGACGGTACTTGATCTGTGCTATTCACCACCATAACCCTTGCTCTTGCTGCTCAGTCCTATCCACTGGTGATAGCTCCTGGTGCTGCGCGAGGGACACGCTGTGTCTGGGCACCCTGTGCTTTGACCCAGAGTCGGATACCTTTAGCTGTGATACTCTGGGTTTCCTCTTCTCCTTGATTCTCCCGAGCACGGTGGGGAACTTGCACCAAATACCCCCTTCTGTGAGAAAAGGAGGTCACCAAGGGGTTGTTCGAGCAGGGGCTTTGTCACTGGCTGCAAGCTGAGCACCATTGGAAGTGTTCAAGAAATGTAGATATGAGCAACCTGGTCTAGTGGGAGGTGTCCCTGCCCATGGCAGGGGGGTTTAAGATCCCTTCCAGCCTAAACCATTCTATGATTCTATGGCTGATTCAAAGGCTGGAGCAGCCACAGCTTTGGTGGGTGGCACCTTCATAGCAATAGCAGTCAAACAGCCAAGCCCTTGATACCTGCTTGGAAAATTGCCTTTGTTGTATAGTAGAAGAAGGTTTTCAAAGAGTTGAGTAAACAGAAGGGATTAAACACAACGTTCATGCAATTCATCCACTCTGTTCCATAATCTTCTGTGTTCATTCCCAGTCTGGGTTGCAGCTGCTGACACCTTCTGAGTTTGGGAGTTCCCAAGAAATTTTCAGGCTGGCACTGAGCTTTACAAATAGCAGGATAAAATTTTACATACAGGTCCTGGTTATGTAAATTACAGAAATTTAACTAGTTGTTCAGACTCTGCTTCTAGGATGGAAGGGAAATAAATTCCAGGCTTTCTGGAATAGTCAGAATACTGTGTCAAATTTGATCTGATGTGATTATATTGCCTAGCTGGAATGGGAC